GGTGGACCATGAGTAATCACCAGATTATTACAAATCTGAACTTACTTCCAAGTTTAAAAAGATTACATTAAAGCCAAACATGGGTTTCCGCACACACCTATAGAGGTGCCTGGTGTGCCAGGGAAAGGCTCTCACAACTCTGGAATCAGGCCCATCCATCCAGTGAACCTCATGTGGACTAGAGCATGTCAGGTCACACCTGAACAGGAAATGTCAAGACTGCGTGCAACAGTAAACCTGCTCACAGTAGGAAGAAGAAAAATACCTTGCCACAGATTGCCAAACTATGATGGAAGTGTAAAAAGTCAGCCCCTCTCTGGGGTGCCCCACTGCTGCACACATGCTCTTGCATGACCAGGGAAGAGACCCAGACGCGAGGTGGGGGGGACAGAGGAGCAGACACCCAGATGGTGGGAGTAGAGCAGGAGGATGGCTGGCCTGAAAGCACTGGTTTTTAGCTCAATAAATGCAAAGATTCATCTGAGGTTACTCTTGGAGCACCCAGACTTCTCACACTCTTTGGTTCTTTGCCTCAAAATAAACTAGCTCATCTGGATTCCTGTCCCTCACGTTCAGCGAGAGTCCTGTCAAGTGAATGTCAACTTCTCAACCCACAATCTGAGCAACGTTCAACAGGGTTGCATTCTACTGCAAGTTGGTAATATCATAAATAAAAATTTAATGCACCCACCCTACCAAGCAACACAGTCCCCAAAGCATTAACAACAGGGCTGAGTAGGAGTGTGGCTCACTGCCAGTGGCCAGCAACTCTTAAATACTGTATTATCACTAGCACAAGAGGAGAGCAAAATCAGGGAATACATCATAAAATTAACCATCAATGACATGGAGGGGAAGAGAGCACAAAAATCCACGCCAAAATCTACTTACACTCAAAACCCTAATATAACTCTACATGCAAGGTGGCTGCTCAGGCCTCACGTTCTACAGGCCATACCTGGCAGCAGGACTGAGGGGACTGCAAGCAATGAGCAGGGCCTCACTGTGAATGAACCATTATGAGGAACACACCTTCACTAACACGCTTCAGTAACACGCTCACTGCTTAAGCATCTATAGTGGGCAAATTGCACATAAATTATCCAAGGGACTGAGAGAACCTGAGCCCAAGCCCAGACCAAAGGAGACTATAGCCACTTCACCAGCCACCACTCCTCTCCAGGGAAGAGACATCCACAACGGGAACCAAAGATCTGATGAGGTACCCAATTCAAGGGATGCAGGAGGCCCCATTCCTGTCCCTTCTCTTCCAGACCTTCCCCGGCCCTGGTCCCACATCCTCTCCCAGGAAGCAGCATGACATGGAAGACCAGGTAACAGCAAATCCCCTCAAGAGGACAGCAGGAAAGACCTGCTCTCAAGAGTACATACAAAAGGCAACTTTTTCTTAGAAAAAAAAAAAAGGCATTTCTTTTGTCTTTAGTCATTCCTTCTTACATCTTTCCCCAGTTTATAGTACATTCTACAAAACTATTCAGTCAATGTTGAATTACCACACATAAGGTAAACCCATCAGACAACAACAGAGCTGAAAACCTAGACCAAGAAAAACCTAGACCTGAAAACCTAGACTCATAATGCGAGTCTGTGATGCTGATGTAAACATACCTATTGCAGTCAGTCCTACAGAAGTGCAGCAAATACATGACACACACTGCACAGCACTTCTAACAAACAGCAGTCAACCATTTACTAACCTGTACTTCCATTTTTTATAAAAAGTCTAGTGTGAAACACTAGCAGCCAAATCCTTTGCCACAACTTACATATCTACATTTGTCAGTATCACACAATGGTGACACGAGAACAAAACCACCTAACAGCGTGTTTCTCAGAATGCATCTTTTTGTTAAGTAACAAATATTTTGTGTTGAAATCCAGGGGCAAGACTGAGTGCTAGAACTGCTCCACAGTAGCTCTAGAAACCTCTGCAGCTGGCCCAACCAGCAAAAAGCAGGCCAGAGCACCAATTTACCAAGTTCAAGGCCCTGAGTTCAAAGAAGAAAAGGCCTGAAGGCTGGGATGTTCACAGATGATCAGGGTAGAACATACCACTCCACAAGGGGGCTCAGGGCAGCTGTTATCAGAGAGCTCCAGAGACAGTTCCTAAATGGGTGGGCAAAGCCAGGAATATCCACATCTGATTTTCAGAGTGTGGCCTAGACAAATGAAAAGCAATCTGTATAACTTAAAAATGCTCAATGCTAAAAAACAAAATAAGGACTAGGAAACATTTCATACCTGAAATCCTAGCTACTCAAGGAAGCTGAAATCTGGAGGATCACAAGTAGAGACCAGCACTAGGACATATTCCATGTGTAAAACATCAACAAAAAGCAAGAGCACCAATTTTTAGCAAGCACAAAACCCTGAGTTCAAACAAGAAAAGCCAGGAGCTGGGAATGTGCTCAATGGTAGAGTGCTTACCTAGCATGCCTGAAGCCCTGGGTTTGATTCCTCAGAACTACATAAAGCAGAAAAAGCTGGAAGTGGTACTGTGGCTCAAGTGGCAGAGTGCTAGCCTTGAGCATAGAGAGGTTCAGGGACAAAGCCTAGGCCACGAGTTCAAGAATCAGGACTGGCAAAAAAAAAAAGAGCCAGTACCACAAAGAAAAGGGAGCTAGAGACCCTCTTCCTAAGATCCCCTCAGCAGCTGTGTGGATGGCCCACGTTCTCCTCTCAGTGGGCTCCCCCGTCTGCCTCGAGTGTCACGTCTCACCTGCCTAGAGGCCAGAGAACCCAAGACTGAGCAACAGGACACAGCAGCCCCACCAAGAGGGCTGCCCGTGTACATGGGTTAGAACACACCCTAACACCAGAGTGGCCACACCAGATGATAGCAAGCCTCGGCCGCCGCCATCTACATCCAGCACCATGCCCAAGGCATGCCTCTCACGCCCTGCAAAGAGGCCCAACCCCATGCCATCAACAAGCTGAGGGCAGTGGTGCCTGAAATACCAGGTCTCCTGGAGGCCAGGGACAGCCCCGGCTGCAAGATGGATGGAACAAAACACTTGCTGGGGTACGCCTTTTGTCTCTCCTCACAGCTGAAATACCAGCTCCTAAATTAGGTAAAGGAAAAATGAAACCTGAAAACAGGCCATCCACCACCTTCCACCACTACTGAGGCAGTCAGCACTCTCTCTGAAATACTCAGACCCAAGCTTCCCTTTCCTGCTGTCAGTGCCAGCCACTCAAGCCAGTGTATCCTTTTTCTCTGCCTAGTGATGCTCTCTTCCAATAGGCCGTCCTACCTGGTAGTAGTCTCCCATCCCAAACACCTGAACGCCAGAAACCACAGGACAAAGCCCAGGAGCCAGCAGGCCCTGCTCTCACCCAGAGCAGGTAATCACAGGGCGCTGGACAAGTAAGAGAGCACTTGAGACTTCGTGTGTGAGACGGTATTTGTTTCTAGGCCTCTTCAGCAGCAGCTCTCCACATCACCCCAGTGGAAGCATCTATGAGGTCGAGCTGACCCCTACGTGAGGATTTCTCAGTCCTCTCTCTGTCCATGAGAGGGGTTATGAGCCCTTGCTATTTCCTTTGTCTGAATCCACGGACTCCTTGAGTATATACAGCTCTGTGAAAGGAAACAAGATTTCATTTGGAAAGAAAGCAAAATAAAATTACACAAAAATATTTTTTGTTGCTGGCACTTACTGGGGCTTAAACTCAGGTGTTCACACTCTTGCTTAGATTTGCTCAAGGATGGCACTCTACCATTTGAGCTAGTTCTGGCTTTTTGCTGGTTACCTGGAGGTAAGAGTCACATACACATTTCTGCTTGGGCTGGCTTCAAACTGCCACTAGCGCCCAGCAACTAACACTAAGTGGTGCTGGTGGCTCGCCTCCTAAAGTGAGACCTGTTTTTATTCCCAGCCTAGCTAATGAGCCGCTTATAAACCTCTGACACTGTAATACCCAACCCCATCTTATAATCACAACCTGCTAGTAAGGGCGTAACTTCAAGCCACAGATACACGGGAAATTATCATCATCGGCTAATGTTGAACATGTCAGAGACCATTCCTGCCCTTTACTAACAGAAGTGCAGAGTCTGCCCATTTGCAGAGTAAGAGTAATTTTATTCACGTGTGGGCCCTTCTGAAACAAAGTCCAGGTCACACATGCAGTGCTACCTGCTCTGCGAGAGTCTGCCTGCCTCTGCTTTCCCTCAGGCTCCTCTCACCCGGTAGGACTGTGTAAAAGCCCACACCCCACACAGAAGAGCGGCTTCTTCAAGTGGTTAAAGAGGAGTTCCACCTAGAAAGGATCATTTATTCCACACTCACAAGTTCTGGTGTGAAAATTCAGTCACTTACCTCATATTCTTAATGCAAAGAGTACTTTCAAAGATAACAGAAAAAAAGCAAGTCAGTGGTAAAAGGAATAGATCAAGAAGACACAAGGCAGAGGGCTTGCCTAGCAAGTTCAATGCTCCAATGCTAGAGACCAAGGCAAACAAAGGGTATCTGCAGCAGCTCCTGAGCGGGTCACACAAGAGCCAGGTGAAGGCCTAACCTCCACCACCTGGGACAAGACCACGGGCTGGAGCTCAGAAAGCCCTCCTGGAGACCTGGCAATGTCTGCACTACTAAAGAAATCACCAGGAAAGTAAGGAGTTGACAAAGCAGGGAGTGACCTCTCCCTCCTGACCACAACTCCCATCCTTATCTTTAGGGGCTGCCTTACTGACCACACAGCTCCACTTTTCCAACTATCGGGTCCAACAACCTGGTAACAGAAGTGTCCTTGTCTGATCTATGGACTATAACCATCCCTAGTCAAAGTCTTTTACAATGACTGTGCTCCTCCCCGAGAAATACTGGTGGCAAATAAATATAGCCACATCCTAGGGGATGTGATCCTAGTACTAGGGATGGCCATGTGGCCGGGCTCCCTGGCAGGCCCAAACTCATGTGCCCCTCAAGGTCCTTCACTCCAGGCTCATTCTCCAGCCGAAGCTACGATGTGCTTACCTCTGAGGGGGAATATACGGAGCACACACCGTAGGCAGGACCGCACAGGGCTCTGCCACTGTTTTCTTGCCCTTCTTTGCTTTCTTCCTGACCTTGGATGTGGACCTGACTGTTTTGACTGAACTCTCTTTTCTACAGACACCATTTTTCATCTCAACATCCCCATAAATATTCAGAGGCCTCCGGGTACACCCTGGAGGTGTGTGGACATCACAGTATGCAGTCTTTCTGACAGAGAAGGTGGTGCTGCCGCCCGTCAGCTCCTTCACAGGCTCCATCTTCATGTATAGACCGGCCTTCTGGGCACAGGTCACGTGGAATGCCGTGTAGCAGTTTGCTTTGTGGCACTGAATGCAAGCACCCACGCCCTTCTGCTTACAGAGGTAGCACGTCAGTTTCCACCGGGCTGGGGGGATGTTCCTCACACCATCAATGGGCTCGATGAACACCGTGTTGGCAAAGCCGACCTCTGGGATCCACAGGGCACACACCACGTGGCCCCAGCGGTCATCGTCTGTCTTTTTGAAGGCACCACCCTTATTGGGGCACAGCACACAGTCAGCAGGACGGGACCGGGACTGCAGGCAATGACGGCAGAGCCACTGACCCTCAGGTATGTAGGGCACCCCATAGCACTCTTGGTGCACAGCCAAGTTGCACATGTCACAGAAGAGGATCACATTGCTGTTCTGACACTCCCCGTCCATGCAGATGCAGCACACAGCATCCTCATCAATCAGGGACTGCTGCTCACCCTGCTTCTGGTTCTCACAGTAAGACTCCTTCTCAAAGCGATCCATGAGGAACTCAAACATGTTCTGTGACACAGCAGAGACGCAGTCGCTCTTCCTCTTCTCGTTGATGATCTCCAGCCAGGCGTAGTCCTCCTCATCCATGTCGTACTCCACCTCCTTGTCCAGCTCCTCAGCTGACTTCTCAATGAACTTATAGTACACAGGGGGCCTCCTGGGGGCAGAGGGAGGGCTGTACTCCACGATCCGCACCTTGGGCTCAGGAAGGGCACTGGCAGAGGCTGGTGTGCCATGGGAGCTAGGGAGAACTTCATTTTTCTTTTTGACCCTGTTGTTTTTGTGACGCTTAGTTCTTAAGCAAACAGGTGGCCTCTCACTATTTTCTTTATTGCTGTTGCATTCGCTCATTTCTTGAGCAGTGAGGTCATCTTCTAATATGATCTCCAAGGGATCAAAAATACTGATGCGATGCAAGCGCCCTTCAATCTCTATCTCAACCATCCTTTGAGCCTGAGCGTAGGTCAGTGTCTCTCTCGTGGGGGAGTGCTTAACACAGGGGGAGGAAGGGTGCCTTGCTGCGGAGCCTCGATGACATCGTCCTTTCCTCCTCATTTGGCAATGATTACCTACAACAAAGGAAAAGGCAAAGACAATTTAATGCAGGTGACTAAAGACTGGAGGAAACCATGAAAACACACTTGAGCAGTGCTACCTAATCAACTCAACACTCCAAAATCAAACGACCAACATGTTTCTGAAGCTTCCAAACTACTCTTCCCAGGACTCACCACCACATTCCAACATGCCTCCAGTGATGCCCCAGGGCCTGACAGCAAGTGGAGAAACAGCATACAAAAGTAGCACTCAGAGGCTCCTGCTAAACAGCCGGTTACCGAAGCCCATCACTCACCAGTTGCCTTTACAGAGCCACCAACCAGTACCTGGAGGGTAGCAGTGTGCCCCCCAGAGCAAGGACTGGCCTTTTCTAGGCTGCAAGCTGTCCCTCAGATAAGACGCCATGACCACAGGCATACTCAATGGCTACCTGGTCATAAGGAACGCTCCCCTGAAGCTTCCTTTCTCATACCTATTGTTGCCAAGAGAGATTGCCTGTGAGCCCCAGGTTATCAGTCTTCACAGCCTCCCTGCTGGGGACCAGAAGCTTCAAGGCCCAACAACATAAGGCAACAAAACACAGACTACAACCCGTCTACAACCGTATCCTTCACACACAAGGTTCAGAGCCATCAGCCTGTCCATACACACATCTTCCACACACTGACAGCAAAGGGAGCCCTGCGGCTGCCTAGGCCTGCCCATTCCACTCAGGCCAAGGCACGACTGCCTGCTCTTTTTCAAGTAAACTCAACTATCTGCAACAGGCCAAGGAGCACCTCTGCTTGCCTCCTGGCACAACTGGAGGTACTATGCTCTACTCTGGCTCCAGAACAAGGACAAGGCTATGACCCCAAAACTGATTTGGCTGCAGACCCACACCATGAGTCCCTGTTGCTGGCTTGGATGCCTGAAAACTTGGATACAGAGGTTCATGAGAATCTGCTCTTTTCAGAGGTGAGTAAAACCAGTGAGCTTATAACCCCTATCTCCACCTTTTGGTGGCCGCGCCATAGAGGGAGGAACATGGAAGACACCACAGCCAACCAAATTCCAAGTGAACTGAATCTGAGGGGCCTTCCAAGAGCTCACTCCCTGGATTCCCAACGCAGCCAACCTGGGCTCAAGCAGCAAGCCCTCCCTCCCCTCCCTTCTGAAATGAATGGGGCGCAGCCCCCCGGAGGAGCCAGGGCCTGCTGGGAGGAAGCAGTGCCAGTGCTCGCACCCAGGGACAGGTTCCCGGGTCATTACTGAGGTGGAGCAGAAGCAACAGCTGGTTCCTCCCAAGTGCAAGACAAACATGTAATGCTCTCCTCTACAGCAAGGAACCAAGAAGCCCTAACCATCGCCAGCCCTGCAAACCCACATTTCCCCCGTGGGCGCCTTTAGCCGCCTTTCTACAAGAATTTAACCTACTACTTAATGGTGGGAGCAGCTCTGTAATTTGGCAGCGCAGCTGTGAGCAGGAGAAAGGGGTACTCGGCAGCGCTGTGCGGCCCCTGGGCTGGGCTCCCGCCGCCCTGGCGGCCGGATCTTCTGCACGAGCGCTGGCTGAGAACATCCCGAAAGGCGCTGTGGGCAAACAGCCGGGCGGCCTCGGGGCCGGCCCGCTCCCGCTCGGCCTCCGACAGTCCATTTAACCCGGCCGGCCGCCTGCCCTGGGCCGCGGGCGCGAGCAGCCCGGGTACCAACACTCCCCTGGTTCTCCAACGGCGACGCGCCGCCGCA